TTTGAGAAGATGAAAAAGTTCTGGAAATGGATGATACAGATGGTTGCACAGCAATGTGAACGTACTTTGTGCCAATGAACTGAATGCTTAAAAATGGTTATGATGGTAAATTTTATACTACATATACTCTAACACACACATACACACACACAAACCATTATGCTAAAGGAAAAAAGCCGGACAGTGAAAGAGTACATACTGTATGTCTATATACATGGTGTGTCAAAACACGTAAAATTAAGCTATAATGACTGAAATCACATTAATGGTTGTCTGGAATCAGGGACAGCGGAGGGAACTGAGTGTAAATGGTATAGAGATAACTTTGTGGAGTAACATAAATGTATATCATGAATAGAATATGTGTATATCTTACATTTGTCAAAACTCATTGAAATACACACTTTAAAAAGGTACATATTATTGCATACAAATTGCACTTCAATATATTTATAAATAAATAAACATTGATTGATAAGCAAGGAAGTAAGCTCGATAAGTGAATGAAATGCAACACGGTAGGAAATAATTTATAGACTATTTTTTCTAGGAATGAGGCTATGTTGTGGAGTACAAAGAAGGCAGCGGCTGGAGGAAATATATAGTAAAAGGAGTATTTTATTTTTTAAGGTAAAAGAGAAATGAGTGTACATATTTAATGCCTAGGGGAAAACAGCTATTTAAAACCAAGTTGAAAATTCAGGGGGAAAAGAACATAAAAGCTTTCAATGTTTTGTTGCCAGTGCTTGAGGTATATGGAATTCTGTTCTCTATAACCCACTTCAATGAAACAGTCTTGCAAAAAAAGGTAAAGAAAATGGTATGCCAAGTATGAGTAGAAAAGAGTAGACTGAAATATCCAATAGAGAAAACTCAGCAAATTCCAAGAAACCAAGAATACATTATTCCTATGTATTAATAGTAAATAAAGTAATAATGCAGTATAAGCAAATTTGTAATAATACTGACCTTATACTAACACACTGACCTTCTACAAAGAAATTAAGCCAAGAAACTAAGATTTTGCTATAAAGCAGAGGATTATTAAAACCAAAACAATATGCTCTAATATTTCAGGTATTCTCCAAGCCTGGCAGCTAAAATAAAATGGGCCCGTCAGTGCAATAATGGCAACTCAGGACTTTCAATAAAGAGTCAAAGAAATGGTAATATTTTTTCAATGCCATTGAACATGTGATAAAGATATCCACAGCCTTCTATGTGGTAAATAGCCTTGTGAGTAGATTATCTTCAAATACTGAGGATAACATATGTCTTCCCAACAAAAGAACACAGTATGAAGTTAATGAAAACTCTACTCTAGAGATTTAGAATAGCCAAAGAATTCTAATGAAAGAGGTTACTACTTATCTCAGGTGGCATATCAAATTCAGCATATACTTTGAATTCTCATACCCTATATTCTGGCTTCCAAAACATCACTTTATTTTTTGTCATTACTGATAACCATGATTTAGTAAGGTAATTTTTAAACTTCAGTCTTTTTATAAGAGCCTCTACAAACATTATTTCAAGGCTTCAACATGAAATACATTTTGAAACACACCTAATATAGTTATCTTTAATTACAAATAAAGAAAAAAGACCTACTATTTCCAAATGTGCAATTCAATGTCAAAAACTAGTACTATTGGGACCGGCCCCATGGCTCACTTGGGAGAGTGCGGCGCTGGTAGCACTGAGGCCACGGGTTCGGATCCTACATGGGGATGGCTGGTGTGCTCACTGGCTGAGTGTGGTGCAGACCACACTGTGCCCAGGGATGCGATCCCCTTACTGGTCAAAAAAAAAAAAAAAAAAAAAAAAAAAAACTAGTACTACTGTATCAACTTTTAGGTATGGTCTCTTCCTAAATTTAACTTTTACAATTTACATTAATACATTTCTCTATAGATACCTTGATTTATTAAGAACTTTTTAAGACCCCAAAATTGGACATGTATATTGACAAAAAAATTATACATGCAAAGTACATGTACCTCATGTACATCATTAATAAACAGAATAGTAATAGGAACTATGATTCTCAAAATTCAAAATCCCTTATTTGAAAGCATTAGGAGTAGCAAAGCAACAGCAGATACTCTTGCAACAGACTACAATAAGTTGCTGTTTTTCTGTTCATCTGCTGAAATAAAACCAAAGGTAACTCTGATTACAACGATATTAACCTACTGCAACAGTAGAGCTAAGTTTTAAATTTTTCTCTTGATAGATGACTGTTGCAAATATTTGCATCAAAAAACTTGGGAAATTAAATAAATAAGAAAATGTAAATTGGAGAGTAGTTTTCTTCCAGTATATATAAACATATCTTTTTTCTAAAAGTCTTTGCTCCCATAAGATCAATGACATAATGACATAAAAACATA